TTTCGGTTTTAGGAAACAAAAAGTAGCTCAAGTTTATTGTGTCCTAGACTAAATAACACAAGTAGCTAACACTACATTACACTGCATATCTGATATAAAAACGCAGTACACATATTTCTAGACTTTGTTCATTTATCCCTAGGCAGAAAATATTCATAATAGATTTGGAATAAAATTTCCTTCTCAAAAAGCTTAAACTTCAAATAGAAGTGATAAATGAGAAAGAATGATTGGGTTGCAGAATTTTCAAAAGCCTAAAAAGAACCCGGGCATGGTGGCTCACACCTGTAATCCCAGCACTTTGGGGGGCCGAGGTGGACAGATCACTTGAGGTTGGGAGTTCGAGACCAGCCTGACCAACATGGTGAAACCCTGTCTCTACTAAAAACACAATAACTAGCCGGGCGTGGTGGCATCTGCCTGTAATCCCAGCTACTTGGGAGGCTGAGGCAGGAGAATCGCTTGAACCTGGGAGGCGGAAGTTGTAATAAGCCGAGATAGCACCACTGCACTCCAGCCTGGGGGAGAACAGGGCGAGACTTCATCTCAAACAAAACAAAACAAAAAAAACCAGAAAGCCTAAAAACAGATTCCAAGAAGTTGTAGCAAAGAGGTAATTTGTTCCAATATACAGCACAGTCATACACAGCACTTTGCAACTTACCAAGGAAAACGTTAAACGTGGCAAGACAATACTACCCTCTAGGGGCAGAATTTTTATTTTCACAACTTCTCAGCAAAGGATGAATGAAAGGATGAACTAAACAGTTAATAGCAGGCTAATTATTCAAGATTGAACAATCCTTTCTCTTTTCACATTCTCTTGGTGTAAGCACTTCCATGATTGACTACAGAAGTTGGGATAAGACACCTGACCATTACATTTTGGTTACTTATGAAAATAATTCTGATACAAGGGTGGAGAGAGAAAAATTTGAAATGAACTTCATAAAACTTAGAATTTCTATATGGATTTTTATTTCTATTTTTATTACAGACTTACTATTCTAATTTTTTCCCCATTTTGGGAAAAAAGTTCAATGACAGATATTCCCAGTCCCTTCACACATATGAGGTGCCTGTGTGTTTAGTTTATCTGCTTGGATAGAAATTGTTACAGAATTCATAAAACAGGAAATGAGCATTATAAACCAGTTACTAACTGTAGAATATTTTGGTTTCCTCTGCCCCCCGCCCTGCTCTAAACCCTACTTCACTGGGTTTCTGCATTTTCTCCATCCTTTTTCCCAGATTAACCTGTTCATTTATTGACTTCTGTCAAGTTCTAGAAAATGAGATCAAAGACTGATAGCTGGATATTCTCCCATCTTAAAATGTTAGGGAAACAGTTTGTTAAAAGCATGTTACTGTTTAGTCCTAAGTATTGAGCAGTCATTGTCCTTCAGGCCAAAATGCCAGCCACTTTATTTCCCTACTTTTTAAAGACTTAATTAGCCATCAGCAGTTTGTAGTAGAGCTGGCTTTCTTAATACAAAACAGTTTATTATATTTTAATTGGCAGGCTCTATTGTATCTTAGAGTGTTTTTCTCTAATTTTATATTGAAGTGAAAAATAGGAAGAACATAAAATTTGCTACATAGATAATTTTGGAGATGTTCTATTTTAAACATTGATAACAGTATAATTTAATTCCATATTTTGAAATATACAAAAATATATACAACTAAAATGGTATCTAAAACAGAAACCTATGAGTGCTCGCTCCAAACAATAAGGCAAATAAGTGAAGAGCTCAGGTAATGGTGTTATTCTTGAGGACACAAAGCCTGGATAAAACTAGATTACCATAAATAGTATAGAAGTTGAAGAAATCAACACAGTAGGACTAGAATTAATTTAGAAAAAATTAAAAAAAGTTTGGACATATACCATAAGTAATAGAAATAAAACCTATCAGAGCAACAAACGGAAAAAACACACAAAAGCAAGTTTGTGTCCTCAGTGCCAAGGATTAGAGGCAGATGAAGTACAGACTGAATATAGGGAATACTAAGAAGTCCCAAGAGACAATGAGTGTCTTATATCAGGAAGCGGAGAGTGAATAAAGGCAATCTCATGAAAGGAAGGGAGAAACTGTAATCCTGCCCACTCCCTCTTGCCAGGGTTATCCAGAATCAATGTT